TTACACCTCCACCTGTCAGAAACAGTTGAAAGTGTCATTTGGTGGCCATTGTTGCATAAACGTTGCTGATGGATCACTCCGTGGCTTAGCAAAAAACGTATTGCCGTCTCCTTGTCATGAACGAGAGTTGAAAGCGTCAGAAAGTTCAGTTAAGGTTTTACGTGCGAACGGAGAAAATTTTTGCATAAAATGAGGCTATATGCGGAAAAGGAATTGCTTTCATCAAAAATAGGTCAAGGTTGTGTGCGTACATTGAATTGGAGCCGGCAAAATGTGGGACGGGGCTTATCTGGAAAGGATCCCATTGTGGTATCTATCGAACAGCTTTGGGTCTTAACTAATTCGACGTTCTCTCACAATTTCCGTCCGTACTGGTCTCGGCTCTTTCTCTCTCCTTCCTTGGCCTTGACTTAGCTATAGACACTGGCCGCCCAGTGAATGACCTTCAAGATCCACGCTCGTGCTCACTATGGCTTGTATTATACTACTTACAACATAGTATTTACAAAGTATAATATAATTATAACTATAATAATTAATTAGTGGGTCTTACTTGGAGAACACTGTTTGCCTCTTAACAATTATTGGGCTATCCGATATTAGACGGATGAAGGAAATTTTGAATATTGATCGGCGATGGCACTTTAACTGCCCTTCACGGGTAATAGTACAACGAAGCGATGGGTTGTGGGACGCTTGCATTACAAAAATCTGGGTTTTTTCACCTTGTTTATGTCGCAGTGACTTCAAAAATCTAACGTTCTGCACGTTGAGTTATAAAAAGTGGTCTTCTCTTGATATTGGCAGTAATGATTGATGCCGTGCGACTACAAAGTGTATTTTTAAAAAGGATGCGATTCGTTGTGTTTCCCACAGTCATTCTTAGGTACTCCCTCAATCAACCAACGGCTATAACGCTGCAGACGTTTGCGAACCATTGATCATGTGTAGATATGATCGGTGCACGCCTTGGCGACAAAAAGTGAAAGCTTTTACGGGTTAGCTCAGTTACGTTGACGAATTTCATCTCCTTGACTGGGAAACTCGGGTGGAAAAATGGTTCGCTACCCTCGCACAATCAATGGCATTTTTACATCACAGCTATCGCTTTTTGTTTGCGCTTCGCACTGAAACGAACATTTGGCACGATTTCTCGCCAATTGACTGGTCAGGCCCTGTGTGGCTATCTTTCCCCCTCTCCCCAGTCTACGGTGAGCTCCAGCTGACAGTGGGAAAGGCGCCAAGCCGCTGTACTTCTCTGAGCTGAACCGAGACACCGCAAGCTATTTAGGCAATCTCGGACGGTATCCTTGTAAATTTTTCACGCTTCACCAGTTTTTCCAAGGAGTCCCACCTCTCGTCGGTCTCTACAGCACACAACAACGGTATTTGTCCTAGCAACACGTTTTACATGTCGCGAGAGACTTCTAGAATATGACAGTTCGATTTTCATCAATTTCCCCTTTTTAGTTCCAGCTCACTGCCCCGTAGTTGGGGCTTTGTTTTTCTCCCGAGCCTTCACACCAACTTGGCACAGCTGCTCCCCTCCTTTCATCCATGGATCTACGCACACCGGAGCCAGAGGAAAGTCGCTTCATCACCACCACTGCCGCCCCCGTCAACCCGGTGAGCTTCCTGTGTATGAATGAGAAAATACCGTTTTTTTCGTGTGGATACTCCTGATTATTGCTCGCTTGTTGAATGCTTAGTGTCCAGCGGAGTTGTTCGGCACCGAACTTTCCAGCTGAAGGTACTCAACTTTTTGCTAAACGGCGCATTTCCTTTTTAACTGTTACCATCGTAGTTTCACGGGAGAATCACGACACTGTGCTAAACCATAACTGGAAGTAAGTCGTTCCATATTCGATAATCGCGTCCTGATCGTTCATGTTGAGAGAGGGGCGGGATGGCTCAGTGGTTGGAGCGCGAAATTACTGATCGGAAGGTCCGTGGTTCGAACCTGGCCTCCGTCTCTCGACTTCCCCTGTCTAGGCTTGGGCAATCTGGCAGTATCCCAGCCCTCGGGCAACCTTCGGGTGGCATCGCAGTTAGGCACCAAAAGGGTGTTAAAGCCGAACAATTGTTATTCATTATATATGTTGAGAGAATGACACCCGTTTGCGTAGGAATCTGGTTTAGACGGAAGATCCATTTGAATCCAGTCTTTTCGACTGGAAACTCGGGGTCTGTGCCCACCCGACCGATGAGACCCAAGACAGCGACACCTGTCGTGGGCGGTTGAAGAGCCTTCACCAACCTTATGAGTAGCGTGTTACGTTTAGACCTCTATTTCTTTTCAGAATGCATGAAACTAGTAAGTTGGAAAGATGGATTTATGGAATTCGGATGAAGATGTAAACAGTGTGGACAAACAGGTCGTTAGATTTGAAGATGACCTTACTTCAACTTTGTAACCTACTTCCAGTGACTCGTAACTTGAGTCGTTAGCGTGGGTTTTTCCTCTTGGGAAGTTGGCCATTAGGAACCGCATCACATGCGCTAATACCAATTCATGTGTACTCGGGTGTTCTTCAACGACTTCTGTGCGAGTAGGACTTCAAGAATTCGATACTCTTGCCTGTCTGTCAATTCCAGTGAATCTCTTGGATGGTCGTCAGTCCCTTATCACTCAAATCATCATCAAGTGGCATTTTCTCTATCCAGTAGAACCACTCATTCGACTATCAGGAAGATGTATTCCTGAGTGAGAGTGAGTGAGTGTGAGTGAGTGAGTGAGTGAGTGGAGTGGAGTGGAGTGGAGTGGGGTGGAGTGGCACACATCTGCCACGCAACCTGAAGACGGTTCGATGTGTTGCCGCAACTTGGACAAAGACAATTCAGAAGCTCACACCCCTGATCTATCTACAGATCGCATCGGAAAGTGTCAGCGTATCCTGTTGGCCTAGTAGTTTCAAAGATATTAGGTTCAGTGTCTAATATAAAAAGTGTATATGGAAACAATGGAGTGATATGTTTGTTTAGACGGAACGAATCACTCGTACGATTCGTGAGAACCATTCATGCCCGGAAGCCAGCCTCCTCTTGATAACCGAACGTCACGTCAGTTGTATCGATGTGTCACGTTCAGGCTGTGGATCAAACGAAGGCATGTCCTGATTAGTCAGAACGTCAGCCAAGACTATTCCAACTGTATTAGTAAGGTCACCACAGAATGTTCCACAAGGTCGCGCTGGAATCTTCTTGAGAGCCCCAATATATGAATACCTAACCCAGTTTGGCTGATATGCTGACCAATGAAGCCGCCCGTGGCCGAATGGTTAAGTGTTCAAACTAAAAGCCAGGAGGTCGCGGGTTCGAGACTCTGCGGAGTTTCGTGAGATGCGCACTGCTGATGATTCCCAATAAGGATGAAGCAGCTGTGCAGTGCTTCTCGGCTTTTCAGCATAGATTGGCTTCACTTACAGGACGAAGTCTCCACAAAAATCCCAGATCTCCTCACACTACCAACATCTTTGGTTCGTAGCCCGCACGTGACCTATCCGTCCAACCAACGTGATGTTCGGTTACGAACGGGACACACGCATCCGAGCGACTAATATTCCTATACATGACTAAGAGTTGTGTAAGGAGTATTTGTTTCATGAAATTATTTAATAGCACCCCTCTTTGTTACTCCGCTTGCCGATCGGTTCAACCTTGTCAAAGTTTTCGTTCGTCTTCCTCGCTTGAAGCTAGTTTCTCCGGAAACCAGGTGATGAGGCCTTTAGATCTCACTTAGTCTCTGTGTTTAGCATCGTCTAATTTATGCACAATTCAAGTTGTGTTGTGTCTTGGGTGTAGTTCAGAAGAGTACGACGGCATCAGAGTTGCTCTCACAGGTTCGATGCAAGTTGACTTTCACAGTTTCTGTTCATAGGCTTTGTTTCCCCAATCAATTGCATCTCTTACTTATATCCGTAATTAGTAGCATATGGTTTAAGAAGGATTGGTACTGGCTGTTGGTGATTCTTGCTTTCTTCTTACTCTCTTCCCTATTACGACACTAACCTTGTTTTCTCAACAAATTCCCCTCTGTTTCAGCCACTACTTATTCGAGCTCAGGCTAGCGAGACACATTCCAGCCCCACTCAACCTGGCACGAGTCATGGAATTCGTTGGCGTGAAGGAACTGTCGATAACGAATTTCTTGGACGAAAGAAGTCCAACTGTTGCTGTATCTACAAAAAGCCTCGTCGGTGGGACGAATCTTCCAGTTCATCTTCGTCGTCATCCTCTGATGAAGGTCCCGGTGATGGGACCGGTAAGCCAGGGACGCACAAGCATGTTCACTGCACCGAGCACTGTCGAGGCCATACGAAGCGATGCTATAAAAGGAAGGCCCCGGAGAACCAAGAGGCGAACAGTCCAAGCGCGCAGTCCACGGAACCGCCCTCGTATGAGTCAGTGGTCCACCCAGAACAGCCGCCTGAAGGAAACGGATCTACGACATGATTTCATCTTCCCCTCGGCGATCTCATAGCAGAACTTGGCCGTGTCATCGTTTTCACTTGAGTCTTCTCCGGGGATCCCACCCGTGTATGAAAAGATTCTCGCCGTCTAGCCTACCTCCACTGGCCTGATCTATATCTGCAAGACACCGTTAAAGGTGTACTGTCCCGTGTGTTTCATCCATCGCAGCCCACTGCAGCTTTTCCGGCACACATTGAGCCTATACTGTGTGGTTTCCCCTCTGATCAATGCAAACTGCTCATAGTATAGCGTGACTTTTGATATGCTCACTCTGATTCCGGGTTTCTCCTTCATGAAATCAGCTGGTGCAAAGTACCACGCTACCAAATGACGGCTTCACGAGTCAACCACTTCTCTCACTGTTATGAGAACGCAAGATGCTGGTTACGGAGCCAGTGTTAGTCTGAAAACCTTGTTTTTAGAGGCTTAGCGTCTCAACCGTTGGCAACGTGACTGGCCACTAGGAGTTCGCACACTCCGTTGCTTGGTTGTCCCCTTTTACTCTTGCAACGTTGCCGGAGCATTTGGGGCAGCCATTCTCGCAAGTCGGTCTATTCACAATGCAACTACCCTGTTCTACCAAGATCTTCCATCAATGGAGCTGGAAGCGCTTAACGTCCACACTCCGGGTAAAAAACAAAACGTCGTTGAGTTTTGACATTCGAGATTTGTGAAAGACTCTCTCTCGCTGATCAGATTGAAAAATGTTGATTTTGGAGCCTAAATTGCGGTGTGCAGAGACACTCCAATCGCATCACAACAGCTACTACCGGTGTAAGGAGGAAGGCCCTTCACTGCGGAGTCGTTTATTAGAAAACACCAACCTCACGGTCACAAACTCTTGGACAGGGAAGTAAACATCCCCACACGCCTTCTTCAACTTTCGTGGATATTCGTTGACTCTCACGCGATTGTAAACGAACGCTGCAGAGCAAAGTTCCGCAGGTTCCGTAGTAAAACCCATGGTGAGGCGGTGTACCTTCCATTAGCCGTGAGGCGGAATTACGAGAAAATCACGTACTACTCGTCTGTCTCATCAGTAGTATCCGCCGTCACACCAGGATATTAAGGTAACCAATCACATAAAGGCAGACGTGTTCACATAGCCTCACAAAGTCATGCGGTATGGTGTTACCCAGTTCAAACCGAACAAGTTATCAATGTCATAGGAGTCCGATTTTCGAAAAAAAGGGTTCATCCAAGGAAATATCTCGCTCCACGACCGCTTGTCGGTCTTTTGCAACTCAACCAAATCCCGCGATTCGTCACAATTGTTCAGCAGGTTTCGAGTGTCTGTGATGATACCTGACCGGGAAGCTCTGACACAACCGGGACAGTTACTGGGTCGGGCGAACTAATCCCATAGCCCAAGGGCGAACATGTCTGTCAGTTCAGGCGTGGAAATCAGACGCGTTTAGCATGCGCTGGTGCGGTCACGCTCACCTTACATGTAAGACGTGTGGAGTTTACATTCCGTACGTCCAAGAATATGCACTGGTGATTAGCTCTAGTAGAAGCGGAAGTCGAGTCCAGTGCTTCCCCCCACCTTTGGTGTGGACTCACCAGGATAATTACGCCAGAACAGGAGGGCGACTGTTCAGACGCGAGTCATGTGGTCACGCATTCAGTAGTTTTTGCTGAATATAGGCAGTACATCCGATCTGTTGTTTCTGAAATTGGTATTCAAACTTGAAGTGGTTCTTATCTTGCAAATCAATTTGGTTTTCACGAGAGACTCAACTAACTCTCTCGTCTATGATATTAGAATGATATGTAGAATACCATGAACGAGAGATTCGGTTGAGTCTCTCGTGAAAACCAAATTGATTTGCAAATGAGTGTGTTTCTCGAAAACAGTCCAATTTGGGTTCAAGTAGAACATAAGGTTGACGAAAACTCGGGGACTGCGCCTACCTGATGAGACCGAAGTGGAAGGGTGAAACCGGTCGTGGGCTGTCGAAGAGTTTTCAGCAACCCTGTGAGTAGTTCCATACGGTCTTGTTTGTTCGCGCTTCGCTCGCGGCGTAGCCTCTACCTAAGGGACATTTCGAATCGGACACACCATGATGTTTCTTATAAATGGAAGGTCCCATTAGGGGGGGAGTGGTTATAGCAAACCGAAAACCTTCCAGCATGGGATACCTCCCAACAAGCAAAAATCCTCTCAAAATGTCTTAGAAACGCCTCTTCGGGAGAGGAGATACCCAACCGCAATTAGTTAGATTACTTGGCTTCTATCCAGATGTGTTCAACTAAAACTCTAAGCAACTGTCAGAGCAAAGCAGAAAGGTGTCGCTGATGGCGTATGGTTAACTGGCCCATGAAACAGATTCACTTCGGATATTTTCTCACCGGTTTTGAATCCACTCAGGAGTGCACATAAACGGTTATACAATCAATATACACCAGGAGACGTCGAATGGTGGTTGACTGATTGAATGACCTAAGTGTGACATTGTCTTTGTTACTGTGGGTGCTTGAGAGTATCTTCACTGCCTGGTTTCCGTACAGTTTAGAACCGGGGCATCTGGGTCAGGACGCCGCCTGGTCTGGGAGAACGGGTTGGTTGTTGAAGAGCTTGAGTTCAAACCCAAACTCATCGGACCGGCGGTCATCTGACTGCTTAAGCTGACTATGACCTTGTAGCTGCCTCAGTTAAATTACAAGGGTTCCTCACCTGTGCGAGGGATGGAGGCTAACAGCACCATTGAACTGGATATGCGAGTCGTGTTAAGCGTGTGACACTTTGTCGAAGAAATTTCCCCTACTTATGTGCAGTCGCCAAATTTCTGTGGCTTATGCTTTGAAACGAACATTCGAATGAGATTTGAATAGTGTTCTTCGATCAACTGTGCAGTTCGAGGCACTCTTAATAGGTTCAACTGGGTCGACATTCAAATTATCAATGTGTGTTTGCTACCGAGGCAGTACCACATAAGGCTGGCTGTAGCTAATGTTACAATCGTTCAGCTGTGGTACCCTTTCGTTGCCTAACTGTCATGCTACCAGATGGAAGCACGACGGCTGGGATACTGCCAGACTGCCCAGGTCTAGATAGGGGAAGTCGAGAGGCAGAGTTCGGGTTCGAACCACGGACCTTCCGGTCAGTAAATTCGCGCTCCAACGTTACAAACAGTGTACAGGATCCGACTTTCCGAGTGCAAGTGCTATCTGAACATCGTTCTACTGGAGTAGTGAAAAACAACCAGGAGAAGAAAGCCCAAGCGAGGTTTCTCAAAGCTCATCCTTTCCAGCATGCAATCAAGCAAGCCATTCCGTAATGCATTGTTCTTGTCTAAGTTGTACAACCCCGCTGTACAGTGTTCCCTTTTCTATAGAGAATATGTTGATAGATCAGGTGGCGTAGATGGTCACTGGCTTGTTCGCTGAGCTGGGCAATTTGAGTGCAAACGTTTCATCGCCAATCGGGGTGACATCATCAGTGCGTTATTGGGAAGCGTAGTAGTGCGTAGTGGTTGTGCGTTGAATAGTGTTACGCGTGTGTTCATATATGTGCTGCTAGCAGGGGATGACCTTTGATCGCGATCCCTTGTTCGGTCGGGCGGTTCCATTGGTTGCTCCGTTGTCCTGTGTCCCCATTCGCCTCATAACTTCGATTAGTGCTTAAACGCTTGCAATCAAATTGCCTAGCTCAGCGAACAAGCCAATGACCAGTGTTCCTCTTCTCCAGTAGCACCTAATGTCACGACCGCATTTATGTAATGCGTCATCAACCCGACCAACAGGATCAACCTTTTCCCAGTCGGATGTCAAGTTAGCTTTTTTGTCTAAGTAATATAGATCTACAAACTCAAACAGTGCAATCCATGAAACGATTTTTGACTTTGCATTAATGGTAAACTGAAATACTTGGGGGACATGCGATATGTTTGATAAAGCACTCCCCCGTACGACCTCATAAGCTTAAAATACGTTTTGTCCCAAGGCTGATTTCCTCCTGATCCTAGCTCTGTTGACATCGTGGCAGTTGATCCTTCCTACCTGTAGTTGTCGTGTCAGCCACAAAAAAAGCAGTGCTTTGATGGCTTCTGTCCATTGCGATGCGTCTAGTGAAATGTTCTAGGACGTACTAACAATGACCGTGTAGTTTTAACGCCCTTTCGATGCCTAGCTACCATACCACCTGAAGGAATCATGGGGATTAGGACACTGCCAAGTCTCTCAATCGTAGACAGGAGCAGAGGTTGGGATCGAACCACGGACCATTCGGTCAGTAAGTTGGCGCCCTAACCACTGAGGTTTCTCGAACTGTAGAGCGAGTTCGAAGATGTCCCGGGGATAAGATGCCATGTACTGGGACTGTAACCTCCATTGGAATACAAGGTGCCGAACCTGAAAGCTTCATTTTTGATGAGCTACCCAGACGCGGTACTCATCGTGCGTGACTTCGAACCCAGTTGGTGACATCGAATCAACCTTTCGTCAGTTTATCGGCTCCGAGACTTCTTGTTACCGGTTACATTCCCTGATATCAAATGGATTGAACGCTAAACCTGAGAGCCCTTTTGTAAGCCGGCAAGTGACAGAGAAGGAGCGATAATCTGTCGAAATATTGGTAGCTCGGGTGAGTTTATCGGTTGTTGATCAGGTGGCATCTGTTCGCCGAGCTTGTCAATTGACTTACAAACGTTTCGCCACCAAATGAAGAGAGCTCATTAGTGCGCAGTTAGGTATGTACCTCCTGTTGGCTGTGTGCTTTTATGTTCCGTATGAAGGTTGACTGTTATCTCTCGACGTGATTGGCTAGTTGAGTGCAGTTATCTGTTATTTCTTGACATGGTTGGCTAGTTGAGTGCAGCGTTTTTCGTCAATTTATTGGTCCGTTCGTAAACTTACTTGCGTTGCGGTTTTCGTTCCTTCAAATGGATCAGTCATCCCAAAGCCTTCAGCAGCAGCAGCAGTCACCCGATCAACAACCAAGGAGTAATAATTGTACATTATTTTCGAGAGCTAAAGTGTCCTGATGTCTGGAAAGGGGATATGCAGGACCTCGAGAATTGCCTCCTTTTTTCGGATGTCGTGAATCTGGATGCCATTCTTACCAGCCCAAGTGGACACTCACATATATGCGAACTACCGGCGACTAGGCATTCGAGTTCTTAAAGATAGGGAAAAATTCGGTATCGACCGATGGTTAGCGCCACAATTGACGACTCGTAGGAGCATTGAGGAATGCTGTCTAGAAAGCCGTGCAAACTTTTATTTACGAAATGTGAA